ACCGCCTGAGGTATCGGGAGCTTGGAGGGTCTCTCCTCCTCTCCCTCGCCAGTCCCCTCTCTCTCCCTCTCCTCTTCCTTCTTCTTCTTCTTCTTCTTCTTCTTCTTCTTCTTCTTCTTCTTCTTCTTCCGATTGGAGACTATTCAGCTGGACAGAGATCAGAGTTGGATTTCGGTGATACGAGACTGTGGTACTTACCTGATTGGAGGCTTGGAGATTGTTGAGGTTGATACTCGGCTGCATCACAGTTGGACACCGGTTACATCTGGACTCTGTTATCTCCGACATTGGTGACCTTTGGTCCTCGACATTTTGATCTTGTTATATGACATTCYGGACTACYATTTCGGAGACCTATCAGACTYTATCTTTGTGACCTATCGGTGTGATCTACCTCCTACCTCCTTCGTCTCTCCTCCCACCTTYCATCTGTGTATGTRTGTACGGGATCTGGGTATCGTCTATGAATGACCCAGACCCCACCATCTCATGATTSTATGTGTGTGGAGTGAYGCCATGTAGKTCAGTCTATGTTAGTYAGTCTATGTGAGTCAGTTCGTTTATCAGACTTCCGCTGCATACATGCTCATCCTATATTGGTTGATCTTTGGTTCTGCCCATACTCATCGAAGTATGCAACAGTTTTGGTATCGGAGCAGACCAAAACGGATCTGCTCACCAGGTAAGTCCGTTTAGAATTAGGTTATCATGTTTGATCTTCTAAATCGGCACTGAAGTATTATCAAGTTCAAAGTTGCAAATTTTCTTTCTTTCGGTATTCTGGTTATTTCAGCATTTCCCCAATTCAATATTCGGACTTTTTTCGGATTTCTATTGTACACGGTATGCTGTTTAATTAGATCCGAGAGATTGATACTAATCCAACATTCTGTTTGATTCGGATTTCTGGTTAAGTAATTCGTAATTAGGGTTGAATCAGTATCATGTTTGAAATTCGGGTTTTCTGATTTTCATTCAGCAATCCGTTTTTCGGCATTCTGTTGTAAATCCTATATTTCGTTTTCCTTTGAGATTTCCGTTGTCTTTCAGTATGGGAATTAGGGTTATGAAAATCTTTTCGTTTTAGATCAACTTGGGGAAACTCGAACGTTTTGGGACCGTACATCCGAAAATTTTGCCGAAACGCGGAAATTAGGGTTGGGACCGAAATTTTTGCAAATTTTTTTTTTCGTTCTCCTTGTTTGAGAAATTCCGAAAATAGGTTTAGGCTTTTAAAAATCGGATTTTGACGGTGGGAATTCCCGAAAGTTCGTATTTTTGAAAATTCGAGCGTTTTTTCTTCTGAAATTTTTCAAAATTTTTTTAGCACACTAAGCCGTATCTGACCCTCAAACTGCAACTTCCGGGTAGTTCACTCAGTAACGGTGAACTCCCGGACTCATAGTAATCTCGAAAGAGACCTAGTCATATTACCATTCAAATTCGTTTTATGATTTCATTGATTAATTATCTCGTATTTTTTTAGTAATTAAATTTATTGATTAAATCGTTAATTATTTTATTACGAATTTTCTGAATTGGTTTCGAAAATTTATTTTCGGGTTTTGATTAGGGGTCTATAGTCCAACAAGTGGGACAGGGGATTGTAGGTGTATTGCTTGATTGTTCTACCCCTGTTCCCACTCTCCCTACCCCCCGTGTTCTGTGATTACCGGGACTTCTCAAGTACCGCATCGGTTCAGACTGATGTCGACGGAACAGGGCACCGGGGCACTGCCACGACGCAGTGCCAGAATCGCATTTCGTGCCCGCCCTGCAGTACCTCCAAGACCGAAGAAACTCAGCAGGCGGACGACTCCAGCAGCATCAAGTATGGCATTGACGGTACAAGACGCCACCGGAGATCATCCCGCATACCCAGTCCGAGGAGCCAATGAGCCAGAGGCTGATTATTGTGGACGGCTACTGGCATTTACGGAAGTCGTAGCTGCCGTCGAGGCCCGGAAGGAGACAGCAGAGGCAGAACGTCAGCGGCTAGCCAATGAAGCGGCAGCCGAAGCTCAGCGAACGATTGAGACTGACGCAGAGACACGAGACAGACGGAATGCCAGCAGCACGGAGTCCTTGATTGCTTGTGAGCATCAGTGGACGACGRTACTCCAAGACATGATCTTTGTGCCTACGGAAGCGCAGGCAGACCCGACACCGGCGGAGGCAGAGAGAAGTAACCTGGCTAACTTGCTGCTGGGCATGGTGAGAGGTATTATGTGGAATAATACACTCCTGCATTCACATCTGCGCACGGACGCGACGCAGCGACAAACATACAAGAACGATATGACTGCGTTAACAAGTGCTATCCGCATAGAGGCAACGCAGCAGCAGCAACAGCATCATCTGTTGAATTCCACTATCACACGCGTCAACAGCATAAAGTCTAACGCCTCAGCAGCACCAGGCTGCACGACAGACGTGACGAAGCAACTCAACGAGCGCATCGCATCGATCACGTCGTCACCATCATCGGCGACATAAGTACTTTCAACGGACCAGACTCGATCAGCAGCACGGTGGCCGCCATCAAGACGGACATCACCAAGCTACAGACGAGACCGGAAGCCGCTACAAAGACGTTCAAGATACCGCACTTCGACATCAGCAAGTTCGATGATTACAACAAGTCGGACGCCTTGTCATGGTGGCAACGCTTCCTCACGGAAGCATCATGCCGCATGGTCCCGGCGGACGACATGTTGAAGGCAGTATATCTGCAGCTGATTGGAGGAGCGCAGGGATGGATGAACCACCTAACGGCTACACACAAGTGCACTATCGCCGAACTTCACACGCACATTACGTGGAAGGAGTTCGAGCAGCTATGGTTCACCAGATTCATGGTCCGCAACGTCGTGAAGATGGCCATGAACGAGGTCTACACATGCTCTCAAGGGAACATGCCAACGCGAGACTGGGCATCAAAATGGCAGAAGATAGTGACCACGCCTGGCTTCGACTTGACGTTCCCTTATCAACGATCCGAGTTCTTCTTGAGATCGTGCGCAGGATTGCGGTCGGCACTCGGCAACGAGTACGACTATACTACGTTCCAGGCCATTCTGGATAGAACGAACCTAGTCATCCAAACRGACGACAAGGCCGCTAACGAGAGGCAATCCCAGCCGCATTATGTGGCTAAACAGGCCTATCAACGTCCGGCACATAACAATGCCGTGTTTTCTGAGGAAATCGACGACCACCACGCTGCAGCAGCATCCTCGAGTGATGGAGGAATTGTCGCAGCGCTGCCGCCGAAGCGTCCGAAGAGAGTTCGCAAGAACAAGGCGACACAAGAGACAGCGGCGACGGGAGCTGGGCAACAGCCATGGACGGCTTATAAGATCACCAAGGAGGTCTATGACCTACGTCAGAAGTACGCATACTGCCTATGGTGCAACAGTGTAGTACACACTACCGCACAATGCCCGGACAARGGCAAGGCACGCGTACCCCRTCCAGCCAACTCSGGAAACTGAGTTACGCAAGGAGAGGGGCGACGTCTCTCCTCACTCCGCCGGACCCGGTTGCCTTGCTAGCAATCAATGTCACTACCGGGGAACATGCGTTAGTCGCTGATCCTCGTGCTACGTACAAGGATTATGCCGCCCAGTTGGTACCACCATTAGACCAGCCTAGCCACGTGCATGTAGATTGCGTATGCGCAGCCTGTACACCGTCGGCAAGTGATCCGGTCAGTTCGCCACTGMTTTCCGAGGACTCGACGGCGTGGTCAAGACTTGAGGAGCTTGACYCGCTCACGAGAGAGGACTTCGCCTGGATGCCTCTACCCTCGACCGTAACCTTGCCAAGGCCGCATTGCAACGCCTTGATAGCAAATCTACGCTTCTACTTGCAGACTACAGTACCAGCTCCGTTGACGGACGACGGGGTAGCGGTTGCCGATCTCCACTCCTATCTTGCGAAGATCGACCGCGAGCACGCCACGCAAAGGTACGCTGAAACCGACGCACCTTTGCTCTATATCCGCATTCAAATCGGAAAGGCAACHTGTAGTGCCTTGATTGATTGCGGAGCGTCTCGCAACTTCATGAGTCAAGCCTTTATGGCCCGCGCAGGTTTTGGCCCGCGCCTTCGAAGGAAGACGCAACCTACGCAAGTTACACTCGCGGACGGCCGCACGCAAAAGTCAATTGACCGATGCGTTGACGGCGTTCCGGTCTACTTTGCGCCACTTGCGTGCGAGCCGGTATCTTTTGACATCTAGGCATGTCTTGGTTGCGTAGCGCCGATCATCCGGTGAACTTCCATGACCGAACCGTTCACATCCGTGATCGGAACGGAGTGTTAGTCCCATGTAYGGTCGCGACCCCTCACACTTCGATTGCTTGTCACGTGGTTTCCGTTGCGAGAATTCGCGACGCCATTGCTCGGAATGACGTCGAGGAGATGGGCCTTGTATTCTTGCATGCTCTCCCCTCGCCGGACGGACCAGCTGCGTCACCACCGGACCCACGCATTTCTCACCTCTTGGACGAGTATAGAGACGTCTTCGAGGCTCCCACCGGAATGGTTCCGGATCGGCCCATACGTCACGGGATCACTCTCGAGGCTGGCGCCGTCCCTCCGCGTGGATGTATCTACCGCATGAGCGAAGAGGAACTCGAGGTGCTTCGCGACAAGGGCTGGATTCGCCCTAGTTGCTCGCCATACGGTGCACCTGTTCTCTTCGTCCGGAAGAAGAACAAAAATCTACGGTTATGCATCGACT